CTCACTATCGCTTCAGCGCATGCTCCGTCCACGAGACAGGCCTATGCGCTGAAGTGGAACCTGTTCGTCGAATGGTGTTCCTCCCACCGGGAGGACCCCCGGAGATGTTCGATCAGAGCCGTGATTTCCTTCTTGCAGCAAGAGTTGGAGCATAGGTTTTCCCTTAAGGTTTACATTGCTGCTATTTCGGCCCATCACGACCCCATAGAGGGGAGGTCGGTCAACACTGAGACCCCGGCCCGGCTACGTGCCAAAGGTTCATACCACCACGGGACTAGGTGGTGAACCTGCAAGCGCTGCCCCTGGAGGAGGCAGACCCAGCCCTAGCTTTGCTCTGTCCTGTACGCGCACTGCGACAGTACGTGGATAGAACTCAGAGCTTTAGGAACTCAGAACAGCTCTTTGTCTGTTATGGTTGACATCAGAAGAGGAAGGCTGTCTCCAAGCAGAGGATGGCCCACTGGATAGTGAATGCCATCACCTTGGCCTACGAAGTTCAAGGTGTGTCCTGCCCTCTCAGGCTGCGTGCTCACTCCACCAGGGGTTTTGCATCATCCTGGGCGCTGGCTCGTGGTGCCTCGCTAGCAGTCATTTGTAGAGCTGCGGGCTGGGCGACTCCTAACACATTCGCTAGGTTCTATAGCCTGCGTGTCGAACCAGTTTCCTCCTGTGTTCTCACCTCAAACGGGTAGTGGCACTGAGAGGCCCAGTTCAGAGTCGGCTTGTGGCGTCCTGGATGCCTAGTTCTCCAGAGAGTCCCCTGACCGGGCAGATCCTGTCGCATCTTCCAGCACTCCGGTGGCCAGACATGGCGGAGTGTCTAGCGCCAGGCCTTTCAGCCAATGAATTCCTGAAATCTGGTGTGAGGCTAGTGCCCATATGAGTGACCCGGTTGGGATCCCATATGTGTATTTCCACGGTACAGTTACTAGGGCCGTGTTTCCCCTGGCAGACCACGTTCTGTCGTCTCTAAATGATGCAGCCATGAGCCATCTCAGAGACTTCCATGTGCGGTAGGGCCCCTCGGGGTTATTCCACGTGAGTAAATGTCACTTAACCCCCTCTGGGAGGAGGTGACTCTGCAGTGTGTCCTCTTCCAAATGGAAGGGCACACTTTCCCAGTGTTATCCAAGTCCTACTGTTGGGTTGCAAGGAACAACTGTAGTCAAACTTCTCTGTGTAGAGCCCGGTCCTATCGTCTGCCTTATAGGAAGGATCAGGAGGCCTACACAGGGCACTGGAGGGGGCAGCACCTGTGGCATGTTGGTAGGGATCCCAATTTATCGACTGACTGAAAGGGAACGTCTCGTTTACGTGTGTAACCCTCGTTCCCTGAAGGAGGGAACGGAGACGTCACATCCCGTTACCACGGTTGCTGTACCACCGCTGAGCTGCCGGGTCACCGGCTTGTCTCCTCAGCGAAAGCATGAATGAATGTGGTGCACCTGCTGCCTCTTATACTCACGCTGTGATCAGCGGCAGCTGGATGCAATAATCGCATACCAATGTGCATTGGCTCGTTTAGTTTACACTCGAAGTGGATTGGTCTCTCTGGCGAGATCCCAATTTGTCGGTCATCACCGACGTGACGTCTCCGTTCCCTCCTTCAGGGAACGAGGGTTACATACATAACCGAGATGTTCTGGTGTAACCTAATTTGTTTAGGTTGATTCAGCGATGCAAAAATTTATTTATTTGTCTCCAGTGCATGCAAAAGATTAACATTGTTTCTTAATTTATTTTCTTGTTCTGCAGTTTTGGAACGACATGAGGGTGAGTAAATGTCAGAATTTTCATTTTTGGGTTAATGTCTCTTTAAGTCTTAAGACATCCTTTACTGTGATTATAGTGCACCCGCTGTGGCCCAGTCCTTATTTGCAACTCTATGCCATGATGTGTTCCACAATTAGCATCCAAATTAAGAGTATAAAGAAAGAACATTGGCCCAGAGATTTATTGCCCTGTCCCAAAATGCACTCCCACAAAGGGCACAGCAGGGTGACTGGGATATAGCCCAGTACTGACAGTCCAAGTGCTTTTTGGCTGCAATAAAGTGTATGTCTATATTATTAAGCACAGCGGTTGGTTTTGATATCATTTTTTAATTAGTAATGATAATAAGCTTTTAATCTTTTACATTTGAATCTTAAAGATAAATATTTTTTAAGTCCTTTTTTTTCTTCCCCGGAAATTTCAGTTTGCCCTCCAGCCATTGCTTGGTGGGTATGGGACACAGAACTGGTCCCAGAGGTTGGCCTGAATGAACAGTGGGTCACAATGAGCCCTTTCCCCGCTGCTGGAGCAGCTGCGGCCCTTTTGATAGAATGAGGTCAATTCAGGAATGGATATGGCTGGAACTGATTGAGAGGCCTACTCAAAGGAATAAGGTACAAACTGTTTTGTATCGGTCGAAAAGAGTAGCACCCTTCTCCCCTTTTTCCCTCCCCGCCTCCCTCTCTTATTTCTTTGCATGTCAGTGTCAGGAATAAATCATTTAAATTGTTCTCCGATTCCCCCATCCACCATTTGGCAAAATGATAATTGAAACATTAATAGGACGTTAATAGGATGTGTGTCCCGGTAACCTTTGAGATAAATCTCTGTATAATGGGAAGAATTCACCCTGACCAACAGGAATCCAGAGTAATTAAACATGAGGTGACGAGGCTCATTTGGGCATGCTTTATAATTCATTTGTAGCTCAGAGCAGTGTGCGCTGCCATTGGAACAGATTTAGCAGTCGGAGGAAGAACACATTTGTTGGTCATTACACTGGGTTTGTTTGCAGAACTAATGATGAGGCCTACAAGCCTTTTTGAATTAGATGCTTGACTTTTAAGCCTTGGGTTAAGTGTAATGTCCTATGAGTGACCCTGATTCTGAACGCCATTAAAACATCATAATATAGTGTTTTGCATAGGCAGTCAGTTGCATTTGAGTTTTGTGAAGGGACCTGGTTGTAATGGGCCATCCCTCTCTCAGTGTTATTTGGGATCTTTTGTCAGTTGTTGTTTTGACAGATAAGTAGCATTGAATTGCACTGGATATGAATCCAAGCAATGATGCACTTGGCTAGTTGCGTGCATCATCCACTTCAGCAAATTAGAATGATCAGCAATTTGAAATTGACACTCCTTAGTTGGATGATTCCCAAACGGCTGCTTTATTTGGCAGCACTAGGTGTATTGTCTGTAGTCGTTTGTAATTTTTGCAATTAGCCAGAATCAGGATATCTAAAACGATGTTGTAGAATGATTCTGTGCCGAGGCCTTCTTTAGATTGGGCCGCAGTGAAAACTAATTTTCATTTGATTCTCATCGTTGCAGCCGCCATTGCCACGCAAATTAGCATATTACTTTCAAGGAAAATTAACAGTAGATATTCATATCACATTATAGATTTTAATGAATTATGGCAAGACAAAAGATCGCTTAAGATAGGATAATTGCTGTATGCTGAACTCGGGTTGCGCTCATTACTTTTCAACAATGCTGTCTCGCTCTCTTCCTCTCCAGTTGAGGCGGATCTATTCCATTATGAGCCATTTGATGGCAAATTAAAAAGAGTGTGATGGAAACATGCAGAACTGATGAATTTAGACAAGGAGACAAAGTGGAGAACATTTAATAGTTTAATAATAAGCTGCAGTATACATTCAGTGATAATTCCGTTTTTCATGTTGCCAGAAGCTGTTTGGTGAGACCAGCAAAAAACATTCAGCTACTAGATCTATATCTTTTTCACACGTTGCTGCTGTTTGTACTTCCCACATTATAAAACAAGTATTGCAAAGAAACTGATTTTGCAATTTCTCTCCATTCTCTGCTATGGCAAATCCACCAAATCTGTTTTTTTCCCCCTCTTACAGAAAAAAACAAAAACACTTGTTTGGTTGGCCTTGGTACAGCGTTCTTAAATGCTCTGGAAAAATGAGGGCTGTACTTGATGATAGATAGCAAAGCAAGTCTGTCTCAGAGCATCTGGGTTTGCTTTACATGTAACTTATATCCATTTACCACCTCTCAAACACTTCAGAAATGAGTGGAACTGCCTTGAGTGACTTGAAATGGTAGTGTTACTCTTACCCTTACTTGAGTATTAAGATTAAACAACAACCTGTTATCTTGAAAGTTTAATGTTTGTCGCAGTTTTTTGGTTTCTTTTGCTATCTCACTCTAAGCTCATTGTACTGACACACTACTGTTGGTGCTGATTTTTATTTTTTTTATTTATTATTTATTATTTATTTCATTTTTTTGTCTTTTTATTTATTTTTTTGCCGACACAGAAACTTGATGGCACAAGAACTGACCAATAAGAAACTCTTTTACAACAAGGTAGACTGCAATCAACAGTTGCCATGGGGTAACACAGTGAACAAAAATTCAAGATCAATTGAAAATAATAAAAAAAAAGGAATAACAGAGTCAATAAAAAGGGGACAAATAAAGAAAAAAAGCCAGTTAATTTCAAGTATAACTTACTGATAAAATAACTACACAGCATTAAATATTCTCATTATACATTTTAAATTATTTATAAAATATATTTAATGTCTTGAGGGAAACAGAGAAGGGTTGTCTTATCAGACCAGTGAGAAGCCACTGAAATGAAATGAGATCTGCAGGAGTTTTCCTGTGCGTTCTCCCGCGATCGGTCGGACTGCTCGTGTTAGACAGGAAGAGTCTCGCCATCCGTAGCGTCAGAGAGACCCATGTCCTCTTCGGGAACAGTGAGCGGTTTGGCAGCTGAAGCAAAAACTGCATACCAAAGAAGGCATTAGAAGAAAGTTAGAAGTCTCTTTAGAGTCTACAAGGCATGACTGTACTTGGGTGTCACCAGCGGTGCACTGGTACCTTTTTGTGTTTGTGTACAAACGCTACTGTAGCTTTAGTTGAACACCAATGTTTATTTTTTCAGTTTTTACTTTCGCATCAAAACATTAAAGGGATTGTCACATAACAACAGATTATTAAAAATGATAGTAGTAAACTGCATACCAAAGAAGGCATTAGAAGAAAGTTAGAAGTCTCTTTAGAGTCTACAAGGCATGACTGTACTTGGGTGTCACCAGCGGTGCACTGGAAGGCCTTTCTCCTCTAAGGGTAAGACGTGAGGGCAGGATGAAGCGCGTTGCGCAGCACACAGTAACCAGCCTGTCCCCTGCGGATAGACGACTGCAAAGAACGTACAAGCGTTGCTGTTACTACCAAGCCACGATGACAGTCTGAGCCCGCAGACACATTTTCAGCTTCATTTGTTCGATCTCTGGAGAATACGTTGTGCTGCACATGTGTCTCCCTTCCCTGGGTCCGTTCGGCTCGACGCTTGCAAAAGCACACCAATACACACACACGCACATGTCGACACACACTCGTAGTAGTGTATGTGCTCTTTGTACACGCGGGAGCCAGTTAAAGCACGATGTCCTTCAGCCGCTTGCTGCCGGGGGACTCCTTCTCACGGCCGTCCTGCAGGAGCGTGTTGATCTCCCGCATGGCCGGCTCACTGTCCTTCCCCTCCGGCTGCCGCAGCAGGCTGTGGTTGGCTATGCGCTCTGCGTCCCGGCATTTCAACGTGTTGTAGGTGGAGGGTGGTTTGGACTGGGGGCTCTTCAGGTGCACTGGGGAGGTGATGGGGCTGACGGCCTCCCGGCCGTTTCCGGCATCACGCACAGTGCCGTTGATCTTTGGGCTGCAGACGGCCGGCTCCGCCGTTTGCCGCCTGCCCCTCTGTTCGGCCCGCTCCTCATCCGACCCGTCTTTGCCAAAGGTGGCAAAAGTCCTTTTGATGGTGCCACAGTCCTCGTAGTGAGGTACGTCCACAGTGGTGGCCTCGATGGACAGAGCGATGACGTTGCGGCCGTGTTCAGGAGACTTTGCTCTCGCTGGCATCGGCACCCGGGGCATCCAGCAGCGGTCCGAGTGGCCCAGGATACGACATTCGTCTTGGCAGTGGAAACCCTCTGACTGATCTGCATAGAGAGAGAGAGAGAAAGTAAGAGTTAGTTTTGTTGTCTAAACTGTGCCATTTGCACAGCTTCTGCTTATTTGTGGTTTCCTTCATGGATTTCAGGCACAGTTTGTTTTGGAGCTTTCATCTTTTCAGTACATGTCAGAGCTGGGAATGGGGGGAAAAGGCTGTGGCATGGTGAAGAGCTCTGCTCCATTTTTACGTAAGCTGGCTCTACTGCTTCAACAAGTTTTAATGCTAGAACTTTCGAGGCCCTATTAATAAAGCATTTAAAGGGTGCATTGCTAAATCAAAAGTGAATCCCCATTTTGTGAGTAATTGTTTCACTCAGGCTTGATGAAAGGAGGGTTTAGAAGAGCAATGAAAGGAGGGTTTAGAAGAGCAATCAGAGATTTCAGTAAGGGACACTGGCAAAGTAGCCTCATTGTTAAATGCTGAACATTGTGCTACGTCTCTGTCATCTAGCTGGCAGTTATAAATATGTAATGATGTTTTAAAGCTATTGTGGAGTTAAAAAAAAAGAAAGATTTGTCTGAGCCAGTATTAATACAGATCTGTCCTTTGTTGTGTTGGAGGGGCGGGCTTTCAAGCTGCTTTTTGTATCATTATAACAACAAAGAAGCCGAGCTTTCGCTCGCTCAAGTTGAGGTACTGTCTGCCTCTTTCTCTTCCCTTTTATTTAAAAGAGATGCAACTGTAATAATCAAGGCAGCTCTCTTTTTAACAGCAGTCAGCCCAAAACAGCTTTCTGCGTGAGTCCTTTTGACTCCATACATATTTCATTATTGGCCATCTGGATAGACAAGCACGTCAAGGGCACTCTCTCTGCTTAAATGTTTGCTAATATACACAAATGGCATTTGCATAACAAAATCGCTTCTTCAGATTGCTGTTTCCACATGCACCACTCACATATAAAAATAAGAGCAATTATAAGAATAATTATGGATTCACTGTTATTAAAATTCAGATCAAGAGCGATAATACTAATTATTTTTAATGTTATTGCTGATAAACAATCAATTACTGATATGTGTAGTTTATTTAGGCATCTGAATTCTTATTTGAATGTAGGCAACACAATATTTCATCATATATATAAAACAAATCTTATAATAAATGTTAAAAACTGTTTTTTTTGCTTAGTATTTATATGGAAACCGTGAAGCCTTTTATTTTTCAGGATTTCTTTGATTAAAAGAAAGTTCAAAAGAACACTGTTTATTTGAAATATGAATCTTTTTATAAAATTGTTAAAGTCATTAGTGATCTGTTTGCTGAATAGATGTTAATTTCTTTTCTTTTTTTAAACATTATTTACCCCAAACTTTTGAAAACAATAAGCAGAAAAACGGTTTTCAACATTTCTAAAAAGAATAAAATGTTTCTTATATACAGTATATGCAATATTGTGTGATTGTCAAAAACTGGTTATGGTACTATATATATGTGTATATCTTAAGCATGACATTCCAAAGACATTGATGAATGTTGATATAGAACATGCAGTATTTGTAAAGCCAGTGGACACCTGCTGTTGTTGATTAATTGTTGCCAAATGATTTGTTGCCTGACAGGTTCTCACCCCGTCAATAAAAATAGTCGGAGAATCTACCAGACAGATGTTTGTTGACACATTTTGTCAGCTCCCCTATTGGTAAATCAGCCCAAGGGTTGAGACCTTGCTACACACTCGTAGCCCTCAGTGACAGCAAGAGATTGTGGGAAGGATTCACACATTTACATCTGGCACTCCGAGCTTGACGGATCATCCAATTAAAATCACTAATTATCTGCTTTTCCTGCTCTTTCAGGAGTCCGAGGGACAACACAGCTTTGGGCCCTGAATCAATATTTAAAGATTGGAGCGTTGCTTTCCAAGATCTCCGCTGCCAAATCTGTCACTCTTTTAAAAAGTGATCTGATGAGATTGACAGATTACTGACTGATGTCTGGGGACACTTCAGATCTCCTGCGGCACATGTGAGAAGATGAGAGCTCCTGTGTGTTTGTGTATCCGTGTCTCGGTGCATTACGAGAGAGGTTTGACCCACATATCTAGACGGCAGCATCCACACCCACATACGCGCATGCTTCCTCATACTAAAACTCAGGCGAGCAGCAGGGAGAATTGAGAAATTAAATTGAAAAAGTAAAAAAATAAATTGGAAAGTAAAGCTCTGGATCGACTACGGTATCTCAAGTGGCTCAAATTTAGCCCATAATTACCAAGCCCTGTGAACACACACACAAGTCCACATCTTGAAAGGGCTTTTCATCACCAAAAGTCAATGTTATCACCATAGCAACAAGGGGTGAGTCTCACCATTATCCACATATACAGCGAGCGACTGCCGAGGACACCACACCTGCCAAGGCGCAGTCTGCCTACCCAGAATTCCTCCTTTCATTTCATAAGAATCTGCTTTTCTTTATTAAGCATGGATTTATCTGCATCCTGCGGATCAATAGGAGGCACTTTAACAAGATTCAAATCGTCTTCACCTCTTGAATGGGCAACGCTCGAAAAAAGAGCGCATTTTCCAATTCCTGTTCCTTACGACGAGAGGGACACGTACATACATTGAATGTTGTCGTCTTTTTCAGTTGCGGTCCTTTAGGGGGGTCTCCCGTGGAGCGATTCTCTTGTAAACTACATCGGCGTGAAAGCAGAACGCCATTAACAGCTCTCTCGCATCCTGTCAGTAGTTTATCCACAAAACTCACAGATGTTTCTCTCAAAGGTCTGTGCTAACCACATAACAAATTGCAGCAAGACATGACAGCCTGTCGACCCCTGACAAAACAAGAATCTCTTCCTATCTTCTTTGCCCTACGAGAGATAGAAATATAATGCCAACAAATGGAGCAATTAAAGCTTCAATGCAGCTGATCTTTGAGTTGTGCAGAAGAGAGCAGTGAAAGGCAGACGGCCCTCCTACGGAGAATGTCTATTGAAAGTCATCAGGAAAATACGCTTGCCAATCAGTTCCGGGAAAAGACTTAAAATACAGTCCAGAGCACTATGTCAGAGGGAACATTTGCTCTCTAGGATTTAAAGCCTACTAATTATGGTCTTGGCTTTGGCTGGAGGTGGAAGCTGCAATGTTTTCTCGCTCTTCCACATTTGTAAGTAAAGCGCAGAGTTTATGAACAATGTCACAGGGATGAAATTCCACAGCAGTGCTGACGTATCGGAAATATTGGGGTTTCATTTTTGCACCGAGAGGATGAAAGAATGCATGAGGTGTTTTAAATATGTGTACTGCAATCTGCATTCTGCAAGGCTGAAGAATAATGAATAGTGCCACTTGTGATGCAAAGGCTCTCTTCGTAAAAACCCACCATTGCTGTCAGCTCGCAGCAGAACAACATCAGTTTACTTCATGAGAGAGGAGCCCAATCAGATCTGCTCCCTAATGAGGCGGAGAATGAACCTTAGCTCGTTTAGTTAGCCCCGGTGAGTTTGAAGGTAGACATGGCAGGTAAAAGATTGCACTTTGCTCTCTAGCCATAACAGGGTTGTGCTCCATTCAGAACTGAAGCGAGAATTCCAATTCCCTTCTTGAATTTGAACTGATGTAGCAAACTGGATACAGAATTGTCATCTGAATGGAATTTAAATGAAAACTGAAATTGAAACTGAAAAAATATAACTCTAAATTTCTAACTAGAAAAAAGAAAAAAAGTTTAGATAGATAAGGTGGAAAGATGGAACACTTCAATTTCCAAGAATTCATTACCTTACATTACCTTACCTTACTGTTACATTTCTTTGAATAGCAGAAAATCCGTATGTTTCTCTTCCTGTCACTCCAATTCTAATTCAGCTTCCTGAACTCTAAATTTCGTACAACACTGCTCCATAAAGAGGGGTTTTAATTCATTAAAAATGTCTGTTATCATAAATATGGCTAAATGAGCTCAATTTGTGTGTGGGCAGAGTGTTGCATACCCCAAACAAAAGGAATGGCTTTTAATTTGGAATCTTTTGTGTCACTGCCAGACTTTCATCTTGTTTGGAAGCTATTATGCTCTTCCTTGAAAAACGCACTTTCTTTTCTCTCCAAAAATACAGGCACGAGTGCTGGAGGTCTGCAGTGTTGATGTAATGCGGGAGAGGGCCAGAGAAAATGCTGCTAATGTACCTGTTTAAATAGGCTTGGGCTCAGAGAGTATATGAGGGAGAGTGGGCATACTCAAATCCTCTCAAACACACTCTGCAACTGGGGATGTAATTGGAACCACGGGGCCCTGCAGTTTTCACAGTGACACTATTCAGTCACTTTGGATTTACGGGCTCGGGGAAAGAACGTCATTTCTTTGAGGAACAAGGTGCAACAGCCGAAGAAACAAGCAAGATGTTCCTAATAAATCAAACCGTTCTGAGCTACACAATGATGCATTGGTTTAAAGATTAACTATATTAAACGTGAACGTGTTTTGATGCGGTTTTGAGCGTAAAGATCGTATAAATCATATTTAGACACATTCTGCCTCAAAAAGCATATTTTTCTTCTTTTTTGTCTCTCTCTATTGTTGTTCCGTGTAGACTGATGAAACAATACAGCTGCAGCCGGCTCATGTGAAAAGTAATATGCTGGAGTGAGAGGACAGACATCAGTTTGGTGCTCACTTTATTTCTTTCTTCTCACTGCAGGTGGGGCAAACACTGGCATGGCATGAGAGAATATAGGTGTAATAATAATAATAATAATAATAATAATAATAATAAGAAGAAGAAGAAGAAGAAGAAGAAGACACATGATTTCAGACCAGTCTTTAGAAAGCAGAATGAAATAGTAATAATCAGTTTTATTTATTTATTTATTCACAATAATAATAATAATATAATAATGCTATTTTTTGTTTATTATATTATTAATAAAACTGATTTCCAATCAGTCTATAGAAAGCAGAATAAAACCGCAACAATGTAAAATTATGTACTTTATTTATTTATTTATTTGAATTGTGACTATTTACCGTTATTAATAATAG